CTTTGGATGAAATATTAATAGTTTATTGAAATACATAATAATTAACAATAATCTAACTCCTATAAGCCATTTAAATAAACGGACATTTTCCATAAATTATAAAACTATAAACAGATGTAATTTTTTTCAACCAATAAAATTTATGAACTAATAAAAGAAGAAAGCTCTTGATGAAAATGAAGAGCTCCCCCGTATGCTTCAAAAATATTCTGCAGTGTAAAGTGCAAAAATCTTTTTAGAAAGTTTCTTTAATCGAATGCCACGTGTGCACAATCACTTGTTCTTGAGTGTAGAATATCATAAGGAAAAAAGTATCTTGATAATCTTACTGTTAAGGCAATATAGTAAAATGTTGAACATAAATCGAATAATTGAAATTGAAACGTTGAATTGAAATTTGTTGAAATTCAATTCATTTGCAGAATGAGTAGATTATACGAGACTATGATTCCAACTGACGTAAGAAGGAAGCTTTTGTTAAAATTGAAAGCTCCCCAAGCACTTAAAATAATTCTTGTTTTCGAATGCAAAAATCTTGAAAGTTTATCACCCTGATGGAATGTTTCAGCTTTTGATATCAAGTAGAAAGCTAAGTCATTTGCTTTTTGTCTTAAATCTCGATCATTTTCTTCCACTCTTGAAGCAAAGTAGACGATTGCAAGAAACAGAACAGAGTGTAAGGCAGACTCATAAATGTTTTCTGCTGTGTAAATTAAGTCTTTATACAAATTATAACCGATCATTTCAGCAAAAAATGAAAAAGTACGAGAAAATAGGATCCAACAATCAAGAATACGGGGAATGCCATTGTCGATTCTATATCTAAAAATATTTGATGTGCTTGTCTATATTGGTGAATAAACAAAACTGCACTTCTTGAATTGCAGTTGAAAGGGAGATTAACTGTTTTTTCACAATCCTTAATAACTTGACTTAATAAAAAGCACCATGAAGCATACAAAATATTTAGCAATAATAGTACTAAGGTAGCAGCTGCTCTTGATGACAGAAAATACCATGTAGAACCTATTGCTTTGGTTGTGTTATCGAAAGTCGTATTAAAACCAAACGTTAGGGCTAAAAACCACGAATCTCTTAAATTTTGATGAATAAAAAATAAGCTGGAATTAATGGTACATGAAATCATAAAAATTATCAGAATAATTATTGTTGCGAAATTGCTCATCAGAACACACTTTTTCACAATATCTTCATGCGATTGTTTCAATGAGGAGATACTTTGTAAGAATCGATTAATCTTTGTCTTTTTCACGTAAAGAACTATGTAGTTTACAGCAGAAATTGTTCTGTACAATATTAAGCACATTATTGCTTTTCTTGATTGAAAATCAGTGGGGTAATATTTCAATTCAGTGATATATAAGATAATTGAATAAACCAACACGTAAGGTAAAAAGAAAAAGAATATCCAATGCAGAGAAATTTCTAATCTCGTTTTAGAGTTTACATCAGCGAATTTAATTCCTAAAAGAAATAAAAGATTTAGAAGGATATTGCGTTCGTGAAAGTAAGAAACAAAGTTTGTTTTTGCGTTTAAAATCCTAGACTTCATTTTGGTTTCAGAACACACAACTTAAAAAAATCGTTTGATATGAGATACTTTCAATAATGGGATACCTGTAAGTGACGTAATCTAGGTATCTCGATCCTGATTGGCTGTTGAAACGTAGTATGTAGAACAGAAACTAATTATGCAGCGAAGTTGCAAGGTACACAAAGATGTATTACAGTGGCAATAAATCTAAGTTACCTAAAAGAAATGGAAGGAATTATGTTTTAACAAATTTGATGTGCGATACGGTGTTGTATTTAATTAACTTCACATTATTTAACAATCTAACTTATGTGGAGAAACTTAGCTTGACTTTACCATTCTGTTTTTAAAATATCAGCTGGCACTGGTCATGAATCACGAGTCTGTGTGTCAGTGATCGTATTCTTCTCGAGTTGCAATTACATTATTATACTCAATTAACTTCAATTATTAGGAAATGTTGTTCTAAAGCATTCAACTTTGGATGAAATATTAATAGTTTTTTAACAGTCGCATAGAGAAGTTTTAAAAAACAAAATGTATTATTTCGAAGAGAAATGCATAATGAAAACTTATGCTTTAAACAAAAACATATTTTTTTTAATACACATATAAGTTCCTTTTTTGTGCAGCGAATATTCTTCAAACTCAAAAAACTGACCTCCTCTTAAACTTTTCAGTATTTAAGACATGTTTAGATTTTTTGACTTAAAAAGCTGTTGCAATATATAAAGAAAGTAATAAATGAAATTATTCACTTACTCTTATTAAAAATAGTTTTATTGAAATTTGATATTGATTTTGTTCTTAAAGATAGCATTGATAATTTTCTTTATCAAACATGTAAATTATAATTTTGTTAATGTGTATACGAAGGAAAACTTCTCAAATTTATTTTAACACAAAATCGATGAATTTCTCATAAGAATAATCTCAATTAAGCTAAAGTAACCGGATCAGATAATGAGAAAATAACAAACTGATGTCAATTTTTGAGTTCTTTGAAGTATTGCTCGAGTTTCTTTGACATAGCAATGATGACAAATATATTGCAACGATCAATAAGCATTTTATGCTAAAAATCGTTTTAACCTTTATAAAGAATCCATTTTCTATACTTTTTCTAAATGTTCTTATTTGTTAGAGATGTTCGTGTTTGTTACGGATCTTACTTTTTTTATTTGTTCAAGTACAATATAACTCAATATCATAAACTTCTAATATGTATTAATATTAAATGTAATATTAAAATTATTTTTTTTGAATAGATGAAATTGATTGAGTATAATTATTATTTGAATAGCCGTGTTTTGCTTTCACTTGCTATTTAATGAACTCTTTCGTTTTCGTTTAAAACAACATGGTAGAGTAACGTTAGTTTAAAAACAAATGTTCTCATAAAGTAATAAAATGATAATGATAAAGCTTGCCCTAGTCAAGTACAACATGGAGAAGGACAGCATAGAGAAAGACAGCATACGGTTTGGGACGAGGTGGGGTTCGAACCCGCTTCTTCCGTGTTACAATGAATGTAGCTTTGTAATATCTTTTACAAATTTGAGCAATTTGTTCCTCAATTTGACAAGAGCTTATAATAAATCGTACTTTGCAATGAGCACACAAGCCTGCATGTCTATGTGTAATAATGAAGAAATGTTTTTTTAAACAATTTTTTGCAGCAGTCTCGTCCTTCAGTCAAACGCTATTGAAAATGCAAGAAGCGGGTTGGAATCAAAACGTAACTATGGCAGTTGTTGTTGTTGATGTATATGCCTGTTTAGGCGGAGTGGGTGCGATTGTTCTTGTTTTCCAGTGGCGCCATCTATGGCCATTAATTCGACTTCTGCCACACCATACGTCACACCCGTTTATAAGGCGGACCCATTCATACATCCACAGATCGTAATTTTGACCTGAATCAGAGAACGATCGATCTCCAATCCAATACCCCCAGAAT